TTCATATTTAGAATGGAGTGCTTCACATACATCGTGGCATCTAACCTTCACAGAAACAAGCAGAAAGAAGCAGATCGGGGCTATTTTCAAACTCCAAGATTTACAGATGAGGAATCTTAGGTGGAAATTCAGGGATATTTGTTAGACTAGTTTAGAGATTCCTCCTATGCATTCCTCAGCCTTATGAATGAAAGTATTGGGGTCATATATGCAGGTTCCAACTCCAGCTTTTCTACTGCCTACCTGCATAATTTGGGGCAAATTATTTGATCACTTCAAACATCCTATATTAAGGATAACAATTTTTTGGACTTCATTGTATAGTTGTGATGATTGGATGAGATTATGGATATGAGTATTATTGTGTCAGGTACATAGTATGTATTCAAGAAATGCTGGCCATTATGGTGTTTTGTGTTTCAGGACTAATTTGTGCTACTGTTTATCAAAATGTAGGGCTTACTGCACTGGGTTAAAATAATAGCAAGGTTTACCTTTTTTTTCTTTTCTCTCTTCTCCTTCCTTCTTCCCTCCCTGGCCTCTGTCTCTCAGTTTTTTCTTCCCTCCATCCCTCTTTCTCTCCCTCTTCTTCCCTCCCTCCCTTTCCTTCCTTCCTTTCTTCCTTCCTTCTTTCTCCCTATCTTTGTTATATATGTGGTTTCTCTCAACAATTAATGCAGTGCATTATAAAGATTAACTTGGGGGATTATTTGTTGAATCTTAATTTTTTTCATATGAAAAATATGTATAGTTCTACCCACCTCCTGGAGTTGATGTGTGAATAAAATTATATAATGCATGTAGAATGTCAGTAACAAAAGGAACTCTCAATAAGTGGGAGCTATACTTAGTTTTCTTAGGATGGCTGTTTGGACCATCCTGTCATCACATATATAAATGTGTGTCTTGGTGATGTCTTTGACATTTCTGGATGTTTCCCAGAAATACTTAATAATATCTGCATTTCCAATGTGACTTGAATTTTCAGGGCTTTACTTCAGAATCAATAATTTATTTTAAAAGTACTGGAATGAAATTTTTCATATTGTTCAGGTATTCTGGGAAATTTTATAGGCAGGGATGACTTAATTGTGATTTTTCTTGCCACCAAAGAGAATTAAGGATGTAAGAAAATTTGATCTGAAATAATTCAGGGAATTCTGTCTTCTCAATAAATGAGATATACTGAGAGGCAGGGAGAGAGGTTTCCAGAACTAGAAAACTCAGAAAACACTGAAGTTCTTGGAGGATCATCAACAGTAATTCAGCAAATGACAGAGTGCCAGAAAGATGTTCTAAGTTATTAGCTATATATATTTATTACATGTTATAGTCAATTATTCAAACATTCCTGTCTTCTCAGTCCCTCACTATGTTGGTCCTCAATAATACCAATGCTCAGCCTGTGACCTTCCTCCTGATGGGAATCCCAGGCCTGAGAGCAGCCCAGGTCTGGATCTCCATTCCTTTTTGTCTTCTGTACATCATCGCCCTCTCTGGGAACAGCATGATCCTGTTTGTAGTCCTCCGTGAGCAGAGCCTCCATGAGCCCATGTATTATTTTCTCTCTATGCTTTCAGCCACAGACCTGAGCTTGTCCTTGTGCACACTTTCTACTACCCTTGGTGTCTTCTGGTTTGAAGCCCGGGAAATTAACTTAAATGCCTGCATTGCCCAGATGTTCTTTCTCCATGGATTCACTTTCATGGAGTCTGGGATTCTGCTGGCCATGGCCTTTGATCGTTTTGTGGCCATCTGTGATCCACTGAGATACAGCACCATCCTCACCAATGCCAGGATTACACAGATTGGAATGAGCATGCTGACGAGGAATGTTGCTGTCATGTTGCCAGTTGTGCTGTTTGTCAAGAGGCTGTCCTTCTGCAGGTCTACAGTCCTTTCGCATTCTTATTGCTACCATGTTGATCTCATTCAGCTCTCTTGCACAGACAACAGAATCAACAGCATCCTTGGCCTCTTTGCACTCTTCTCCACAACTGGGTTTGACTGCCCTTGCATCTTGCTCTCCTATATTCTGATTATCCAATCTGTCCTCAGCATTGCTTCCTCGGAGGGGCGGCAGAAAGCCTTCAGCACCTGCATATCTCACATCAGTGCTGTTGCCATCTTCTACATCCCTCTCATCAGCCTGTCTCTTGTTCATCGCTATGGCCATTCAGCACCTCCATTTGTCCACACCATCATGGCCAATGTCTTCTTGCTTATCCCTCCTGTGCTCAATCCTATCATTTACAGTGTGAAGACTAAGAAGATTCGAAAGACTATTGCCAAGATCTTAATTCAGAAGCAGCTCCACATCTAATCCTTAGTTATCTCAGAGTAGAGATAAAGCCAATTAGGAATGAGTGTTTTGGTTGAATGGGATAATTGTCTCTGGAGTGCCTAGATATGCCTCCAATAGTCCAAACTATGCAACTTATATATTGTATAATATTTGCTTAGTTTCCTTATCAGTAAGTCATATTAGTACCACCTAAATTATGGTTTTGTTTTCAAGGTAAAGTGAGATAATGTATGTCAACAACTCAACTATTCATATTTGCAAGTAGTATGAGACCTCAATAAAATACTCATTCAGAATCTGCATGAAATTCTAAAAGTAGGAAATTCTAAAATGTAGGAAACATTGTTAATAAACCACTTGTTCTTTTCTGAATGCTTTGCAAAAAGTATTCCAATTAATTGGAATTTTTTTCTTCTTAAAACTCTTGACTTGAGTTTTAAAACTTCTCTACATGACTCCAAAATAGCAGTACTGTAGAGTGAATCCTAAAAAAATGATGTAATTCAACAGAGGATCTTATGTAGGTAGAATTATTTTGTCTTTTATTATGTATAGGGGCTACAAAATGGCATATCAAGTGCTCAGGATCAGTTATTGTTGCTGTTAGCTGAACATTAAAAGTTGATAATAACATTACTAACAACCCATGACTGAGGATCACAGACTTCCCAATATTTTCCTAAGAGTAACCTTGGTAAAAGCAAACTCATACTTTCAGCTCATGTTTCATCTCTGTCTCTGCCGTTGTGATTGCATCTGTGGACCTGCTGGGTCAGCTCTGATGGAGCCAAGGCTGGCTGATATTTACATGTAGACTCTTTCTCCCTGGTTATTAAGTTCCTTCTCTGAGGTGGGCATTGTTTGGTGGGTATTAGCATGAAATACAAAGATTTTCACCCTCTATGTCCACTTCAATATGTACTTCACATACATCTTCTATAGACTTCTTTATCCCTCTTTTTCCAAGGTTGCTACTTCCATCCACTGACCAACTATCCAGGCCTTTTAGCAAAGTACTAAAGTCCAGATATACTCACATAGCTCAAACAGCCTTTCATTCTACATAAAGTTAACAACAAAGGGCACTGCCAATTATGAGAATTTTCCTTCACTATTCTTTTTTTTTATGGAAACCCATTATGTGGGGCTCTGTACCCTGTATTCTATTTTTGGTTAGCACCAACTTGGCCACCAATCTGTCCATGAACCAAGCCTGAATATTTTCCACCTTTTCCAGCAACTTATCGGGAACCCCCAGTGAGGTTATGGATGTGAATTAGTGAAGAGACATCAATATATCAATATAACAGTGATAGGTGTTATGGGATTTGGGGACAACAATTCACATAATTTATTTATGCTTTTTTTGAACTTGTACTTTGTTCTTCCTAATTTAATTGTTCAAACTTCATAGATGTGATAACAACATGAGAGTTTTCCTAGCTTATAAGTGTAATATTGCCAATTACATACTTAGGCTTCTGTGGGATAATCACAGGTAGAGCTGAAAATCATTGTATTCACTATGGCATAAACTTTGTCCAGAATTACATGAATTACATCTGGCCTCAATAATCTCATAATTTAACCAAAAAAATAACATAATGGTATGTTTGGTTGCCTATTATCAGTGAGAGATTATATTTTATGTCACATAGTCCTCAAAGAATCTGGATATTCTCCTTTCCCCAATGAATGAGTGCATTTGTAAATGGACATAGGTCCATTTTGGGGAAGATCTGCATAATTTTATTCCATATTTACATTGGCATTGCAGATTATTTCATCAAGGCACCAAGACTCATGCTCAGTTAATGGTCTCTGGATATGTACAATGACTTAAATATTTAAAGAGACCGAGGGACCATAATTTCCCATTTGGGTGCTGGATGTCAGTCTGATGCTCAGAAGTTCTTGATTTTAAATGTATTTCACACTGTCTACATAGCTTGTCTCCAAGAACATTTCCATTTATCATGACAGATCGCTGTGGTGCCTCTCACACTGATGGCCATTCTGACCTTGCTGCTCTCCACAGTATTACATATGCCTTACTTTTTTCTTAAGTGCAGCCATGTGGTCTCAGGATCCCACCATCCTCCCTGTTAATAGGGAGTCCAGTTCAATAGAAGCAGATTTCATTGTCAAGTTCAGCCTGCAGAGCACAGCAACTACTGAACCATTCAAAGATACCAGGTACCCTGTTACAAATGCATTGTTTATTGCCTCAGTGAAGAAGGGTCCTCACTTTCCTCCCAGAGAAGATAGTCATGCGATAAATTCTCTGATCCTAAACAATAAATCCAAATAATTATGTCTTGACATGTCCATCTCCTTGAGATTTCTATAGGCTATAGTATGCCTAGTGGATCTGGCATCTCCATCTAATTTGCTATAGGTCATTATTATGTTCAATTGTCAAGCACCTCTCACAGCTGTGCATTATCACAGTTTCCAGGTATCCTTGATACAATGGTGAACCCCAAATTATGGATAAGTGTTCTCTCAAAAATATTTCTTCTCTATGCCGATTCATATTCATACTGCCAGCCACTTCTGCTGCTGTCCCAGATCTAACACCTTTGAGATCCACTCCTGCATGCATTTATTTGGTTCTAGTTAGTACAATTAGGTAGGTTCTGTGATGACTTCAGTGGTTAAGCTGTTTTATTCCCAAAATGCTAATAGCATTTCTCTTCTTGGGCTTTGCTGAGATCTGACTACTTATTGACTTGGTTATAGTGAGAAGTGACGGAAACAGATCTCCCAGAGGAAAAACATCATCTTATAAGGCATTTCCTTCAGGTTTGTATTTGTAAAGTCTCCAGACCAGATAAAAAAAAATACCCTTTGTAAAATGAGAAAAGAGCTCCTGCAGCTTTGGGATATTCAAAAGTTTCAAGATTTTTAGGCTTATTCATGCAAATGTCAACATCCCATGAGTGAAGATCGTACCACTCCCCCATTTTTTATTCCTGGTGTTTTTCACTGTTCTGCCTTTATAAAAAAAGATCTGTCAAAATTGAGCATTCAGTCTGCCATGCAGCTCTGTTACTTTTCCAGTCAAATTGTTTGCTGAATTTTTAGAACTATATGATCTTTGGCTGAATAAGATAAAGGTACATAGGGGCCCTCTGACTTTCACAGCATAGCCCGAGTTGTCAGTTGTCTATCTTAATCTTATCATTTTCTGTTTTAAGTTTTCCAATACAAACAACAGTTAGCTCATCCCATAGTCTTTACAGTTAGTGTTTTAAGTACAAATGGGAGACGAAATTCGAGATCTCCAGTCATCATATAACCTAACATCTCACCTTCCACCTGAATCCCATCCAATCAACCATAAGTGAGACTCTTACTAACAGTGATGCCATTACATTTTAGGAATCATTGTTAGCACACTGACAACTGGCAACAAGCTCTTAGTTGTCAAATGACCATGTTATTGATAATGCGATTCCAGGGAGTAGGAGGGAGGTCCAGCTGGAATCAAAGAGGAAAGGATGGTAGAATGATACAAAATTTTCCAATCTATTTGGACAGTGTTATTGGTATCTGATCAGGAGACAGAAACCACACAATGATTTGAAAAGGAGAAGTTTAATGTAAATAGTTACATTAACAGGAAAGTAGACTAGTGTGGAAATTGGCTAGTAAGAGTTAAAAGATAATTATAAAGAATCTATAAGAAGCAGATATAAGGAGCAACCATTACTCTTAAGGCAGAATATCCAGTGAAGAGCATTTCTCACCCTCCTCTAAGTCTGTGAAGCTACAAAGGTTCCTTATGGGTGAGGCTTGCCAAAAATCTGCCCCCTGGAAGTGCCTTGGAAGGGATCCCACTGGAAGGTGCCAAGTCTCTGAACTCTTAGGTGCCAGAGAAGCTTATGGCTTCTGGGCACTGCTGGAACTGAGATATGGAGAGGCTGCGCTCTGTAGGACTGTATTACATTTCCACGGTGAGGCTCAGGATAGGGTAGCTCCAGGCTGTGCTTTTGGGATGAAGGCTGGGTGGCCAGTTTGCCCAGTGAGGTTCCAGCTATCTCTTGTCCTACAGAAAAGCCATCCTTGCTCTCTTTTTATTGCTCCTTTGGGTGCAAGCTCTATTTCCCCATCTAATACCATTAGTCAATTAGGGTGACATACTTATCAACTTCTGTTTCTTTATGTTTTGGTTTGTTTTTTAAAACCTCAACTAGAGAAGATAAATGGTTCAGAAAAAGGTTTTCATGGGCCAAGTGTTTTAAGAATAGAGGTATCTCCAGGGCAATGGGAATGTGCTATAAGTATATAAAGCATATAGACGTCGTCTTAGAGAGGGGTTTATTTATAGAGAAAATTTGTCATGATTAAATTCATAGCTTTTTCTGTTAAAATTATAATGTTAACCATCAATAAATAAGGAGAAGGGGCTGGGGCAGCGATTTCAATTGGAGAAAGAAAAATAGGAGAAAGATGATCACTTTATTTCATCTTTTGCCTAAAATTACTTAGGTAAATTTATCTTTTAAGATCAAAATGAATTTAAAGGTCTCTTTTCTGAGATTTTTCATCTGACCTATTTTGCTGACTGTAGCCTTCAATGTCCAGCACAAGCCCTTTTGTGTTAACCTGTAGAGTCAACATCCTTGGCTTAGGTAAACTGGTTCATCAATCTATTGTTACTTTGTTTCCAGCCTAAGGTGTTTTGCTAGATCTTATTTTCTATTCTCTTTCTGAAAATCATATGTCTCTCTATAATGTTACCTCCAGAATTTTCCTTTTATTTATTTCCAATTTTCAAAGTTGAGGGTTAAATTAAAATTGATACCTCTTCTGAACTTCAGGGTCCACAATATCAGGAATGCTTGTGCCCCGGCTTTCTTTACTCCTCTCTGAGTTTAAAAGCCTTTAGTGGCCAAAAAATGTAGAAGACCTGGATATCAGACAATGAAGAAAAGAGGAGTTTTTGATAAATCTGAGAGCTTGTAACCTCCCTGAATCCACTCAAATTTAAAATAAAATTAGGCATTGTGATG